ACAGGTGGAAACGACTTATACGAACCACATGGTACACTCTTGTCGCCTGTCGAAAGAAGGAAGGAAAAAAACGGGCTAGCGCAGCGCACAACCCTTTACCCTTCTCCCTCCCCCCGTTTGACACGCATCATCATCCGCAGCGAACAAGACTAGAAAGTGGTCCAACAAATAATGGTTATAGGATCCACTGTGAAGCTTCCCGATGCGAACAGGTCCGAAACATTTTGTACTGACCGATTCTTTGGGTACGTGAGCGGCTGTGCAATATAATTGAATTGGTCGAGAACCTCCAGCCGTTTGACGGAGTTTGGTCACCCAGCCACGAGCACATGCCATCACTTCAGGCTCCTTAGTAATCGGTACATCGAGTGTGTGTACTCGTGCCAGCATTGGTGCAATAATTCGTCCAATCCTGAAATTAATTCCACTTGGCGGTTTGACTTGAAGTGAAGGGTACCAATAAATTTTGCCAGCGCTACTGCATTTAGTGAACAAATCGTACTCCAACCAGAACGGATGGGTCCCTTTTCCCTGAAAGACCACCTGGTCAAGGCGCTGCAACCAAGTTGTGGATTTTTTTTTGCAAAATATGATCCCTGAGGCCAAGGTGATGCAATGGCAAGTGGCACGCTTACTGCACGTGCGGTCCTGGCTCATATCCCGGTCGGGCTCCCATCCAGGTAAACCAAGTCTTCCTAAGTCGGAGGAAGGTGAATTGGCACCAGATCGGTTTGGGAGGATAAGAACACAGATCTGAAGATTGGCTGGCCCCCTTTTCAAATCATTGTATAGGCCACATCGCATTTAATGGGTCACTGCGATTCTGGATGGAAGTAGAATATTCGCCGTATCTACAAGAAAGATTTATCAACTGCTTCTTTTTACCCTCCAGTGGTCACACCCCCAAAAAAACCAAAAAAAGCTTGCGCCTCTTGTTTCCACCATATTTTCTAATCTTACCCACCATCTTCCTAACTTCCCCCAAATTTTGGCGTCGTAAACCTAGGGGCAAGGCACCTTCATGCAAATTTCAGAAATACTA